GATATTAAACAATCAGAAAGCAAATACTGGATGACTTGAGGCTTAACAACCTTTTCCATTACACGTGGAAAATCTCGCCCCTCACCTGACCAGTTATCGATGACGGATTTGGGGAGGAGGTAGAATACTGTGTCAGAATGGAAGAGAAGAACGTCATAAGTAGTGGAATATGCCTTCATTTGAAAACGCTAACGTAGGTTTATTCGCCATCACTTGGATAATAATAATACGTTTGAATAGCATGTAACATTGTCTATTTTGGTGTTGACTCACCCAGCTGGCTTCATGGTTATTTTAAGACACCCAAACAAAGCACCTCCTTGATAGTTGTTCACCACATTGGTCAGAACTTAGTCTCATTGGGAATCCGAGAAACACTCTGAATGTTGAGATCTTATTACTACTTTAACTCGATGATCCGGTAAAACAATTGGCGGGGTCATTACTATTTCCTTCATGTGAACGACCTTTTGATGATGTATTACTCGCATCATCTGATGGATCTTAAGGTTAAAATGTTGCGTGCAACATGACAAGTGCGGAGAAGTGCTTGTGATTGATTGGCTAGTGACGAGATACCTATCATCTGTCCATCAGATTTTGAAATATTTGTTAATTTTCGGGAGTTCCAATATCCAATATCGTTTTTACGAGCTAGTATAAACCAATTTGATTTCTTTGTGCTCGCTTCTTGATTGTGAGGTATAGGTTCTTGATCTTCGGTAAACTTCTGCGTAGCTTGTCCCGCCACTCGACTGTCGTAGCTTTGGTTGACTCCAAAGGGAGTAGTGCTGGGATTAATTATATGTGGTTTGTAGTATGAGGTATGTTAAGACTGTTACTACTGTGATTGGAGTTGATCCTTTCGCCAGTTAGTCCTTCGGTATTGTCGACAAGAGAAAAGAGATAGTAATAATAATAATAGTAATAATAATAATTATAATAATAGATATAATTAGTGAAGCTATTCAGACTAAGAGACAGAAACGAAAATAGGAAACGTAACAACAGTCAGCTCATTAAGTTTGAAGAATAATATATATATCGGTAATAGTAATAATAATAGTAATTATAATATTAATAAGTTGTCAGGAGAGTAAGACGGGAGAGAATGTAAAGAAGTAAAATGACGAGTTTAATTATCTACCCTGATTGGTAAATGCGATTTTAAGGAGATAGGCCATTTGGATGCAGTCCTTGTATCGCTGCATGGTTGTCCAGCCTTCGCTTAAAGGCGTCCAAAGACGGTGCCATAGCTACATCTGCCGGTAAGGAATTCCAGGGACGACAAACCCGCAGTGAAAAGAAGTGGGAGCGCACCCGGGTCCTTGCCCTCTGGTGAGCTATCCTTCTGGGATTTCCACGTGGAAGCCTATACCTACTCAATGGCAGAACACCTTTGTTTGGGTGATTCTGGTCATTTGTTATTTTGTAGGCAGTAATCAAATCCCCCCTAAGCCGACGGTAACTAAGTGTGAACAGGCCTAATTTCTTCAGCCTTTCATCATATGGTTTGTTTCGGAGACCAACCACTCCTTTTGTTGCCCGTCGTTGGACTCTTTCCAAGAGGTTGGCATCTCTTCTCAGCATTGGGGGTGCAATAATATTATGCACCTCAAGGTGTGGCCTGACGTATGTTTTGTACAACATTAGAAAGAGCTCAGGAGTGAGTGCACCTAACTGTCTATGCGTAAAGTGTATGACCGCATATGCCCTCGCTACATCCCCTGTGTAATTTACGCTTGTGTCCATTTTTTCCGTTAGAACTAGACCTAAGTCGCGTTCCGACGTTGTGCAGGACAAGCTTTCATTGCACAGGGTGTAACTTGCATTCTGCAGTCTACAGGTGCGCAACTTCACTACTTTGCACTTTTTCAAGTTGAAAGTCATGCCACTGGCCACCGCCCAGTCTTCCAGAAGGTTTAGGTCTTCCTGTAGCCTATCTGAGTCCTCCGGACACTTTATCGCCCTCCATATTTTTACGTCGTCAGCGTACAGGAGAGTCGGGCAGCTCAGACGGCGTGGTAGATCATTGATGAAAATCAAAAACATCAGTGGTCCTAGGATAGAACCCTGCGACACTCCTGATGACGATCTGTGCCAAGATGATCGGACTCGGTTAACCTTAGTGCAAAATTGCCTGTCGGCTAGGTAGTCCTTCAACCATGACAGAAGTGGCTCACCTATGCCTGCCTGGCTTATTTTATGTAGGAGAAGGTCATGGTGAACAGTGTCAAATGCCTTCTCAAAGTCTAGGAAGACCACATGGACTGGTACGTTCAAGTCCCAGCATGATGTCCAGTCGTCCCAAGCTGACAGTAGGTTAGTGACGCAGGATCTGCCTTTTCTGAAACCATGTTGGGCTTCATGTAGTATATTAGTCCTATCGAAATATTCCCTGATGTGGTCGTCAATAATACTTTCCAGTACTTTTGATACCACTGGGAGTAGAGCTACTGGTCTATAGCTAGCAGCGTTTTGCCTGTCCCCACCCTTGAAGATTGGAGAAAGGATGGCTCTTTTCCACTCCCTTGGCAGGGTCCCCGAATCCATTGAGTGTTGGAACAAGTCGCACAGGGGTCTACAGAGAGCCTCGGCGCACTGTTTCAGAACAGATGGCCTGATGTCATCACAACCTGGGGACTTCCCAGGTATGAGTCGCTGTAGCTTCCTTAGTACTATTGCGGGGTTTATTTGGGGAGTAGTCGCTAGGTCTTCCTCCTCTGAAATAGTGGTGCCACCATTTTGGTCCGTAACTGTAATATCCACATTGCTGTTTAGCTGTTTAGCGAAGGCTGAACTGAATGTTTCAGCCATCTCCAGACTAGTGAGATATTGACCGTTTGGGCCTACTAAGGCGCATGCCCCTTGGTTTGTCGGTTTTCTTTCCGACATGAATCGGTACAAGTTTTTAGGGTTTGATAGGAGTTTTTTAGCAAGGTTAGCCTGGAATGACCTTCTGTCCCTCCTGACTCTTGCATTACACCGGTTCCTGAGTTCGAGGTATGCATCATGGTCGGTCTGACTCTTAGATACACGCCACGTAAACCAAGCCTTCCGCTTTGCTTGCAGAATACGTTGCGTGCCTCTCTTCAACCATGACGTCTTTCTCTTAGGCTGTGTTGTGACTAAAGGGACGGTATCCGAGATTGCTGTATGGATAATCTTTTTTACCACTTCCCAGTGTTCATCCACAGATAGGTCGTCCCATGCTAAGGGCCAGTCTGCGTCGGACAAGAGCCTCCGCATTTCAGCATAGTCAGCCTTGCTGTAGCACAGACATGGTCGCGTAACATCCCATTGCAAACGCTCACGGAGGACAAGATCGAAACCTATGACTGCATGGTCACTGCTTCCCAGAGGAGTCATGATCTGGACCTTTTCGACGAGTAGCTGGTCACTAGTTAGAATATAATCTAGTTTTGATGACTTTCCACTAGGGCCCCACCTAGTGTCGTCTCCAACATTCTCAGTCAGTCCCGTGTTTCGAATAGTTTGCAGTAGGTTTCGGCCAAATTTTCCCTTAGCACACCCGGAGCCGAGGTTCAGTGATGGAGCATTGAAATCTCCAGCTATGGTGATTTGGTCGTAGCCCAAATCTCGTATTCCTGTGATAGTGCTGAGCAGTAGCTGATTGTGCTCTGCCCCACAGGTGGGAGATCGGTAGATGCCACCCAGTAAGTGCTTGGTGTGGCCTACGGTGAAATGACACCATATGGAGTCTGGGAGTTCGATAAGTGGTGGGTCCGTTGCGCGCACACATTTAAGTTGCCTATCAAAGTATATAGCAACTCCCCCTCCTTCCTTATTATCCCTGTCTCTTCTGACCAGTACCATATCACCTATACTGATTTCATTGTCGGCGATAGTGGGGTTTAGCCACGTTTCAGTGAGAATGATTATTTTCAGTTGAAGGTGTGCTTGGAGATTTCGGAGTTCACCTACTTTCCCTCTCAGCCCCCTCACATTGCTATATAGGCAACTGACAGTGAGTCTAACAACCTCAGAGTGTTGTGGGGTAGTTGACGTGAAACCGTCTGCTGGTGGGGGACTTGATGTTGGAACTAGTTGGCCGATTCCGATAGAACCGGCCCGAGTTAAACTATGAACAAATTAGTGGAGTTATACAGAACCATATGGCTTGTGCGCATGTCAGCACGAGTGACTGAACTAAGTGGTTTTGTCATATGTTATTACTAGTAGTTCTCTTGCTTTGCGTGCTACACGGAGTGTGGCGACTTGAACTTCCGCACATTTGTGCAAAGTTCTATGTCGAAAACAGACAGACAGTAGTTCAAATACTTCAAACTGATATTTGCGACGAGGATGTTGTGCAGTAAGACAATGTAAGCTCCGCAACTATAACATCCGGCTCAGAGAGCACAACTACACGAAAATCATCCTTCAGAGCTACATAGCTTCTCTATTATATCTTAGGTTGTGCTTTATCATGCATGTGACGGGCACCTCAGTATGGATTAAAAATGGTTGATTATTATGAAATTGACAAAAGCTGTCTTAAGAAAAGCATTTGAAAATGTTTCCTTCACCGAACACCATGTCGTATTAGAATAAGTTACCTTAATCAGATCCATCATGCCTCAAGTAGAGATTTGACTGTCAATCTAATTAGCATTTCTACGTCTAATTTGCTCAATGATGAATAAAATAGAAGGAGAACTGAAATAATTTCATTGACCGGGAGTTGATACTGTAACTAGTGCTAAATTATCCGTAAGCACACACTTTTAAAAACAGCCAAGATCTTTCATGAGGTATGTAACGGAAGAATAAATGCAGACAGCTTGCTCTATTGATGTTAGTAAACTGCGGGATTTTGGTCCCTCCACATATTGAGATTTCGTAAACACTTATGGTTTCCTTATAAAAGACTGCATTCATGTGTGCAGTGCAGTCCACTTTAGTGCTAAACGTCCAGTTAATTGGTCCTAATCATTCAAACTAGACATTTCATGCTTGATCTTTGAATAAAGGTTATAGTCTGACCTTTAGAGCAAGACAGTTCAAATGTTAGTTGAATGCACGGATAAATTACCCATTAATATTCGGTTTGTTTGGGACTACATTTATTTAAGTGGGCGATATGAGAGTAGGAATGGTTTTTTAAAGGTGAAAGTATGTTATTTCGCTGGCACTTATACGTTAATAAACGTATGGTAGAAGGGATGTAGTTAAGTATTAGAGACAACCTAGCAGTATCTCTGCCTGGGTGGCTTTTTATTCGTGCACTGAATATAGGAATTATAATTTGAGTTGCATCCGTTAGTTTTCAGACGCAAATCACTACTGGGTGAATATTACAACAAAGAAAACTCGAAGACTTACTGTTAAGGTGGACGCAAAAAACAATTACGTTCACAAGTTCACTGCACGTGCTACACAGTTTTGTGCTGAGAACACATTTCCAAACACCAGTTATTTGACAGTCTCTTAACTATGCCTCGAGTGTTTAAGTTATTAATTTGAGAATTAAATGCGACAAGTGTGTCAACATATTATTACTTATGACACGATACGCAAATTTAAAGTCATTTCACTTTCTACGACAAAGTAAAGAAGGAAAATTGCAGCTGTCTATTATTACCATTTAGTAAACACTTATTCACCTCAGTCCATTCTAGCTTATAATATATGCATGCGTGCGTCGGTGGCACAGTGGTTAGGACTCTCGCCGACCTTGCACATGGTCCGGGGTTCAAGCCCACGCCGACCCACACCTGATATCTATGGTCGGCCTGCGAATTTTGGGCTACCGATATCCACGCTGAAAATTCCATACTTGTACCAAAAATACGGTGTGGAATCAAGTTGTAATCAAAAATAAAAAAAAATAAATGCATCACAGATAAGGAATCTCTGCTTTAACACATTCCTCCATATGATGTGTTAAATGCAATTAACGTAATTTAAAATACATGTGAAGATTGTAGAATGGTTTTCATATCCACTGGATTTTAAATCCTCCAGTAGTTCCTCTAATCTGTTTTTCAGAATTAATCCACAAACTATGCAGCACTTGGTAGATCATGTACATACACTACGAGAAACGGCTGCACTCCAATTTGGTAATTAAAATGCAGCAAGTCCCCCAAAATATGGCTTCATTAACACACAATTATCACTACTAGATCCTTTATTGTAGTTTTTATGTAGCTGTAACTTGCGAAGTTATTTTATTTTGCCATTAGACTATTGGCACACCTTTTATGTGGTCATTTTGAGGTCAATAATATGACGTCCACCCATTCTCTTTCGACTTTCTAATATGATATGAAAAATTAACTTTTTCTGAATTCGCCTGATGCAATCTAACGCCCACTCTTCCTTACCTGTGTTCCAAAGTTTTGAGAACAAGCTTCTCTAAAATATATGCTAGCCATTTGAACCGGCTGAAGGTTACTTACTAAGTGTTTCTAGTTTCTTATCAACTTTGATTGACTTAGTCACATATCGGTGTAGGTATTTTTTAATCCAGTGCAAATTCATAGCACTTCTGTATACTTATATTCATGATTTTCCAGAATTGGTGCAACTTGAACTGATGCACTTTTGATCTGCAGTACTAAGCTGGTCAGTCGTAGGCATAATCCTCAGTACCGCTTCACGATTCAACAAAAATGATTTCCGAGTAAATTTGTAGACTATCATGCTACCTTTGTCCCTTGTATATCGAGTTCTATATAGAATTTTTTTATTTTCATGTATAACAATACCAGGTGTATTTTCAGCTTTTTTTCTCAAGTTTTCTCAGCTACGTTTATCACTACATCCTCGTTTAGTTTTTCCATTTCAGAGAATTCTTTGTTGAGTTTTGACACTTCTCTAATATGTTTATTTCTCCCTATTCTGGGCTTGATCACTTAAAAATTACACTGAGTCATTTATAAAGAGTGTAAGATAACCTAAACCCTGAACATCTGCTTGAGTGCAGTTTTCGTGAGGTCTAGTATCTTAATTGCGGAATTACTTTTAATTAGAGTTGCTGTTTGCTATGTTATCATGTCAAAATAAGTCTAGCCCACCTTTTTCCATATAACCTTTTGAGTAGATCCAACTGCATTTAAGGTTGAACTGTTTACGTCACCAAGTATTGTTTGGTAGTGGATAGCTCTGGTGTCGAAGATGCGCGGTTTATCTCATATAAAAGTCATCTGGAAATGTGTGATGGTGTTGAAACAGACGCCAGTAGGTTCAAAGTGCTATTGGAATCACTGTCATAATGGGAGGCAGACGTGTCCATCTGGAAAAACTATTGGTACGAAGAAACAGGTTTAATTGATACCATCAAATAAATACTAATAAAATAGAATTCAAAGCAGTATCCGGTACTAGTTAATGCCGTTTATATATTTTTACGGAGTTTGGTCACTGTAGTCTGGATAGACTAACAGCTAAAATATTATCCACAAAGAAATGTTACTCGAAATTTGTTTTGTAATAAAGTGTGAGCCTCACTTGATGGGTGGGAATTCATCATTTAATCTAATTCTCCTGTCTGAGGAGGATATACAGTTATATAAATTTTGAGTACACTGGTTGTAAATTAACTACATAATCTATTCGATCAAGTTACTGTCTTTGAAAATAACAAAACCAGTAATTCAGGAACACCATGTAAGTGTACTAAGTACTCCCAACAATTCATGTGTACTAAAACAGAACGTCCCACTGCTTTCTTTTCGTTTGTTCACTGTGCATTGAAATCCTGAGACTTTTGTTGTAAGGAATTTTAGTAGGTCTTATAAGATTTGTATTTTCCATCTGTGAGTCCATGGCAATTCTCCCCCTCAATGTCGACTGTTTCAAAAGGTGTTTATTAATTTTCTTTCTCCCAGTTCACACAGCCTAAAATTGCGTGTAATATGCCTGTAATAAGATATAACATAACATTATATTTATCTACCTAGCGTTTTTCGTCTCTTTTGTCTTGAAGTTCTACATAATCCATTGTTGCTTCATTTACAGTCCTCGTATTTTTTATGATGCTTAATTTTCAAGTTTGAGGCAGGATAACTTGCTTTCTTATGCAGTAATAGTAGGTACTAGTTTAAAAATCTTTACCTGTCTGTCTTACTTTTCTTATGACTCATTATATATATATATATATATATATATATATATCTTATGTTTTCCCTCTCTTAGATGTTTTCATTCCGACCGGCAATTATATTGGGCGTAATATGCTTCATATTTGGATATCTGTATTCACTTCTTCACTATCTTCAACCACAGATGCAGGGAACCAGTTCTGAAATGTTTAAACATGCAGTTCATGTTTATAAGTAAGTTACAGTAAATTTTGTATATTATAGAAATCAAATACAGAAAAACAAAGAGCTTGGGTCTTCTTTTTCTGTTTATTATCGTGGGGAACATGTTATCGACATTGTTGGAGGATATGTGGATAAACGTTTCCGGTTACCATGGTTGCCGTCAACTATAAGTCAGTTGTTTACTGTTTCCTTGGTTGTTGTGCCTTTCACATTTGCTAAGTTATACCAAGAGTAAGGAAAGCGTCTTTCTAATTTCTGTATAGTGGACTTCTGAGTATTGATTCTCCTATTCAGCATTATCTGCCGCAGTTTTTGGTTCCTAATATCTCAATATCAGACTTACTCACGCATCAGGTATTTGATAAAACTTGCTAACGATAAAAGTCTGGATTTCCATATTTTATAAGTCATGTATCTTTAGCTAAATGGCGAGATGATCATAGGAATGCATTACATGATATAATCAATCAAATACCACCTATCCCACCAAGTGAGTTTAATAAATATTTTTCATTTTTTCAAAGAAACACAACAGTTTCATTTGCACTCGATGGCTATACTCTGTGATGCCATCGTCCGCAAAGTAGACCCGAAAAGGCGAACACTAGCTCGTTATTTTATGGAAGAAATTGCATGGCCTCTTGGTAAGTATCAATAATAATAATTTCTTTCTTGGCTAGTTTAAGTGGCCAAACTGTGTTTAGGTAGTATTAATGAATACCATTTAACATATATAGTATTAAAACGAACTTTCGCAGTCGGTTATCCCTACATCATTATTTTTATGTACTTTTGCTTCATTGTATTGAAGGTTTGGACATGCTTATCGGGATCCCTCGGACCCAACTATACCGTGCTGCCAGGACCTACCACGCTGATGCTATCAGTGTGTTTTGTGCCATTTTATATTTCGATGTGAAATACGCATGGACAAACTTAGTCACTTCTAAATGGCTACCTTATTCAAAAGAGAGAAATATGGCATTGGATGTATTTAGTGATTATGAGGTAAATGTTTATCTTTTCAGTCTAAAATTTAGAAGAGCATTGAACCAGTGTGTCTGACCTCATTATTGTTCACCGTAGTATAACACAACACGGAAGATAGAATGCAAACATCTGTGATCAAAGACAGCTAACCTTGCCAATATCATCCACGTCCCCTAGCCATGTCTCACAACGATAAAGGAGGAGAGAACAAACTGTAGTGCAGTACATATATCCTTTGATTGATAGCCGAACACAATGGGATGTGTAAATTCACGTGTTATATCTTAGAAAATGTCCAACGTTTTCATGACAGCTAGCTGTGGAGCACAAAAACACTTCCTTCATACTTTCTAATACTAGTTAGCTAGGTATATCAGGATTCAAGCTTTGTTGTTCTTATTTGCCTTTGTTTCCAGTTTTTATTGTTACAAATTAACATTGCACTATCCACAACATTATCAAGCCATTAAAATCATTCCTTCAATAGGCGTAGATTGCTAGTTAAACTGAAAGTATTCATTCTATTACTTTCAAGGATAAAATGATGCGTTTATAGTTGTATGCAGTTTATGTTGTTCTTTATTTTCTCATTTTCTCTTCACTCATCTTCATCTTATGAAAATGATCTGTTTTTCAATATTATATATATATATTTATATATAATCATATAACTACACTTAACTGTTTTGTTTGTTCTGTTTATGTAGATTTATTATAATTGGAATCCAGATTTACTGGAAGTTCCATTAGTTTCAACACACCTGTTCACTAATGCACGAAGTTTAGTCCGTTTATTCACTCTGTTAGAAAATCCAAAGGATAAGATTAACAGTAATTCATCATCTGACAGTCATCCTTTCGTCTTTAAGAAACCAATTAGAGATTGGATGCTTCAAGTTTTAAATACTTCTTCTTATGATCCAGTTCTCCATCGACATTTAAAACTTACTTCTTCAGGTTTCATGGTCACTAATTCACCAAAGGTATTGTTTATTTAATAAATATTTTCATAATGAATTTTATTATTATTATTGTTCCCTTGGGTTCCTAGTGGAACATAGGGCTTCAACTGCACGTCTCCATTTGCTTCTGTCTTCTGCTGTACTTTTCACCTGCATCCATGTTAGTCCTTACTCTTTCAACTCCTCTTCACATGATCTCCTGTATGTCACCCTTTCACCGACGACCCACTCGCCGCTTGCTTCCTTTTCGGGTTCCCTTCGAGGGCTTGACGCGCGATGTCACCCAGCGGTTTCCTCGCCTAACGAACATAGTCTCTAAAATCCTAGGCTCAGTAATCATGCATAGACTAAGCAGAACTCGGGAGGAACAGACAAGGGAAAATCAAGCAGGCTTTAGACCAGGTAGAGGGTGCATAGATCATATCTTCACTCTTCGACAGATTCTAGAACATAGACACACTTTTCGGCGTCCAACAATTGTCATATTTCTTGACTTGGAGGCGGCCTTCGACTCCGTGGATCGAAAGGTTCACTATGGCAATGTCTGACTGTGAAGGGAGTACCAAGAAAGTACATTGCACTAATCAAGGCACTCTATTCAAACTCATGTAGCCGTGTAAGGGCTTATGGGGAATTGTCATCTGAATTGATAACAACCAGTGGTGTCCGACAAGGATGTCCACTTTCCCCATTTCTGTTTAACTTCATCATAGATATGCTGATGGAAGTATCCTTAACTGAACGTAATGACTTAGGAATCGACTTGTTACCAGGGAATAGTCTTATGGACTTAGAATATGCAGATGACATAGTCCTGTTAGGGGAAGATGCTGACAAAATCCAGCAGAGTCTTCTGAACACCTTGAGCAGCAATCTTCGTATGTTTGGTATGCGATTCGCCCCTGTAAAATGTAAGATGCTGCTACAGGACTGGACCACGTCAACTCCCAGCTTAGTGATAGGGAGTGAAGTGATAGAACATGTTGACCACTTCACCTATTTGGGAAGTTGTGTCAGCACCAACGGACTGATTGGCGACGAAATCTCAGCACGGATCCGAAAAGCTCGGGTTGCTTTCGCTAACTTACGCCATCTCTGGCGTAGGCGTGACATCCGGTTATCAACCAAGGGACGTGTGTACTGCTCAGCAGTTCGCTCCGTCCTTCTCTATGGCTCTGAAACATGGCCAATACGCGTTGAAGACATGAAAAGGTTGACTGCTTTCGATCATAGATGTTTACGATCTCTTTCTCACGTTAGGTGGTATAATAAGGTAAGTAATGCTGACGTTAAGCGTAGAGTGTTGGGCAAACAGGGAAAATCAATCGACGAGGCTATAAAGTTACATAGACTAAGATGGCTAGGTCACGTGCTGCGCATGCCTAACCACCGCCTCCCCCGACGGGCATTGCTAGCTGATATAGGTGAAGGTTGGAAAAGAGCCAGTGGTGGCCAAACAAAAACATGGCATCAATCCATGAAATCCTTGACAGTTAAACTGAGTCAGGTAGGGAGATGCAGACTCCCGGGTTGGGGTCCTCGGGACTCTAGGAATCAATGGCTGGAGACAATAGGTGACATGGCCAAAAATCGTTGTCAATGGCGCAGATGTATTCAGTCTCTGTAATTATCCATATTCCTTTCTACCATTACCCATTCTGTTTCACTCTTATACTTGTCAAACTCTATTGATTCTCTTCACTCATCTTCTTGTCTACCTCTGTGTGCTATTTGGAACGTGGTGACTCGAACTGGTGCACTTCGGTGCCAAGTTCTATGTTGAATCCAGACAGACAGATTCCACTCTGGCGACCAAAATATTAGTTTGAGGAAAAGTTTGTAATTGAAGGCAGACGGTTTCATATTTTGTCTGCTTTTATAATATCAGGCTTGTTCCAGACGTTTGAGGGTTAGTAGTGTAATAGACTGGACAGATTTTTATATTTACAACTTAAAATAAGAATTTAGCGAATAATAAGTTTAACGAAGCAAACGTTGGTCAATAACCTTATATAGGAAAGGTCATTTTGTGTCAAAAGATTAGCGTAAAGAATGTAAGCGCCACAATAAGTATATGGAGACTGACAATTCACACTAAATAGTAAAAAGCATCATCACACATGGGTAGTTAATTTCTGTGTGGCAAAAAATCAGGGAAGTGTTACTTACTTGTGCGTTTTGGTCGGAAACGCTTGCCGTGTCCAACTATAACCATTTCTTTAGCATTATATAGAATTCTTTTCGGTTCAGATATGGCTAAACAAGAGCAGAACACATCATTGTAATCTTGTATACCCCCATGATTTTGCTACTTACTAAACTTCAAGTCTCTTATCTCAATCGACTGATCTCTGGACCAGTAGTTGTAGTCTACCAGCCTAATACCTGCCGTTACATGGTTTTAAAATTCATATGCCATTTATGCACATGAAAAGCAGCAGACTGTAAAAGCTGCTTTAAACAGATTTTCTCACCTTAGTTTTGTCTTTTAACATTTGAAGTACTCTAAATTTCGGCAAGAATTGCACAAACTGCAAGCCTTTGGGCGTTTTGGTTATTTTGATTCACCACTTTTCGTAGATCCTCTTGTAGGGAGTTTCTGTACACTAAAATTTCTGAAATCTTTTGGTCACTTTTCTATCCAGGATTTCGCGAAGTATCAGATACGTTGTTAGGCTATCTCAGATAAAAATTACCTTGTTTGTTTTTCTTGACTGCCACACAGCCAGCCGTGACAAGATTGTAGATTGAATGGAGGATTTCATCATGAGCTGACATCAGTTAGAAAACCACTGGAAAACCTGGGAGCACTGGACAGCTGTTTCGTCCTAGTTTGGGACTCTTCAGCATTGTAGGGTCGAATGTTCCCAATGTTACGTCATTAGTATTTTGTGCTTAGTGTAATTTAGTCAGATTATTTTTTTATTAGTAATATATACAACAGAAAATGTTTAATATGTGAAGTATTTGGCTAACACACTGGGAAGACATGTTCATAATGTAGTGTATTGAATTCTTACAAACTACATAAAAATTTTCATGTCATTTTCATTATTACACGGAATAGACCAACATTTTGAATAAAATTTAAATGCCTGTCAGTGTATTCATATATTCCTTACAAACTTGCCCCAGTTATTCGCCTTTTGTGATTGAGAAACACTTCCACTCATGGATTTCTCCATTCAAGTATTGGTTTGTAGGCATTTGATTGATTGGTTACAAGATTTCATCATGTGCCTACATCGGTTAGAGAAGCATTGGAAAACCTGAGACTACTGGACAGCTATTTTGTCCTACATTGGGTCTTTGCAGCAGTGCGCACCCGTCAGAGTTCAAACCCAGCACCTTCTGGTTACAGGGCGAGCTCGATCCAGTGACCCATGAATTCCAACTTCTGCTCTGAATTGGCAGAAAGTTCTGGTTTCGAACCCTGGTGGGTGCGTACCGATAAAGAGTCCCAAAGTGGGACGAAGCATCTGTCTAGTACTCCCAGGTTTTCGAGTGATTCTCTAACGGATTTCCACATTGATACATAATAAAACTATGGATTTTACTACTGAGTGATATTACTAAGTGGTTTTCTGTTGTACTGTATAGACTGTATAAGTTATCATATGTCTCTTAACTATATGTTTTTTCCTCTTCTTGTAGAACACCCTAATGTTTGGAATGTGGGATGATATTCTTGGCCAAGGAGTTTTTATTGATCCAGAGAAACAATTAACTTGGGCTTATGTTACAAATCATGCTCATGGACGATCATTAGACAGTGATCCTATTTTAAACTCTTTAATTCATTCAGTGTATTCATGTATTGAAAAGTAGTATTTGATAATTAGAGAAGAATTCTCAACAAAATGGAGTGCCTTACTGGTCAACGAATTGTTGCATATATTTACATTAAAAAAAAACAAAAACGAAGTCCGCTTATTTATTATTCAACTCGGTGTTTTAATAAAATATACAAAAGGCAGGAACGATTTTTATAGTGCTTTTAATAAGAAGTACGTTTGTAGCATTTATTATTTATGTAACCTTTTCTTTTATTAAGCTAATTTAGACGTAACGGTCAAAGATGTTAATCCCTTTAAATGAATTGAATTATAGTATATATATTCTATTCTGTGGAAATTTTCCCTTGTTATTAATAGGTTAATTTAGTTGGGTTAAGTGTATGGTTCTAAGCATTTGTCTGACCTCCACAAATTCATTACTGAGCACAGCCTTTGGCTATGTATTGTGTAAATTTGATGAATACTGTGAGACATGGCTATTGAAAATGGAAAACCTGAAAACATTATCTGTTGTCGACCACAGATGTTAGGTAAGGAGGAAAAGTGGATCGATTAAGTTGTGAAGCTCCATCGATCGAGGTGGCTAGAGAACATGTAGCGTAAGCTGAGCTACTGCTTTCCTCAACGAGCGATGCTAGTTAATATAGGATTAGGCTGGAAAAGAGTTGGAGGCGATCAAATCAAAACATGACATCACTGTATCAAGTCTTTCACTGTTGGTGTGAACCAATCACTTAGAGTAGTGTAAACTGTCTGGTTGAGCCTTCGGGATGCTAAGAACCAATGGTTGTGGAGACCATAGGTGATAGGACTCAAAATCGTTGTCAATGGTCCAGATGCATTCACTCTTTGCATTCTATCACACCCATTAAATTCGCATGTTTTTCCCATCTTACTATTCTTTCCTCCTTGCGTATTTGTTTAATAATAATAATAATAATAACAATTTACTTTATTCCAAAAACAGTACTTATAATACAGAATGGAATTCTCAGCATTTGTCACAATATTGCATCTGATTTACTTAAAATATAAATAAAATTAAAAATTAAAACAAAATTAACCAGAGGAATTTGTCAAAAATATTCGAAGCACGAATTGAGACCATTAAATATAATAATAATAACATCGAGTTTGTTTCAAACAGTATTGTCGTTTCAGTTTGAAAATTTTAGCATGTTACTATAGTGTATTGAATCTAATGTTCTGTTGATGTAGTGTAGTGTGGGGACATACAAGATTAACAGTGGTAACACAGCTTAAAAGATGTTCACACTTATGAAAAATAAATAAAAACAAAAAATTGAGAGGATTATAAATATATGAAATACAATAGCAATAAAGTTTGGTACTGTAAGGGTGGAAGAAATGGTTTATTTAGTAGTGCAAAGAAGGTTAGTTAGTTCATGCCTGACACTATTTTCATCACATAAAGTATGTGCCACCAAATATGGTATAGTGAAATTTTTATACTTAGACGTACATGCATAAAATCTTCTGAAAATTTTTTAATTTAATTTTTGATTTACAGCTTGATTCCACACTGTATTTTTGGTACAAGTATGGAATTTTCAGCATGGATATCGGTAGCCCAAATTTTGCAGGCCGACCATAGATATCAGGTGTGCGTCGGTGCGGGCTCGAACCCCGGACCATGTGCATGGTCGGCGAGAGTCCTAACCACTGACCCACCGACGCAATTAACAAAAAAAAAGACTTCTTGTTTCACCTGAGGAGACACACGGTCGGAGCTGCGGGTAGAGTGGGTGCTCAGAGTCTGACAAAATTCCTTTAGCAAATTTATTGTATGAGATCAAGTGCCTTTCAGTGACAATATCAACGATATGGCCCAATGGGATTCAAATCGTCCTACTGACAGTCTTCAGAGTTCTACGAAGTATGACATAGTCTTTTTTAAGCAATCCAGGAAAGAATAAGGGTGAACAGTAAAGAAGAATAGATAAAATACACGAGTTGACGAACTGTATCATCAATTTTGCTAAGGTCATAGGAACCAACGACTTCATTTAACTTAACAGTCTGACATTTGGAAGGATTTAGTTTAAGGCCGTTAGACGAAGACCATTTGCTAATTCCTGATAAAAAGCCGTTCATCTTAGCACAGTCAAACTGGGAGTTAACAGACACAGAAATAGTTAGATCGTCCGCATACTTAACAAAGTTTATTTCATCAGAATGAGGCAAATCGTGCAAGAAGAAAAAAAACAGAAAAGGAGAAAGGACGGCGCCTTGAGGGACACCAGCCTCAGAAAGCAACGAAGTGGATGACTTTCCCTGACATACAGTGTACTGCTTTCTTCCTGAGAAATAAGAATGCAGCCATTTGATAATCCAACAGTCAATTTGAGTTTCAGCAAGCTTGTTTAACAAAATGTTCCTAGGTACTGAGTCGAAAGCAGATGTGTAATCTAGGAAGGTGCAGCGAACAAATTTAGCCCGCTTGTCTAAGCTGGAGACAGTGTTATGGTACAAGACTGCAACTGTATCTAAAGTACTTCTGCTGTGTGTATAAGCGAATTGTTTGGGATCGTTAAAGGCTTTAAGTGAAAGTTGAAGATTAAGTAAGAGTAACTTTTCCATAGCTTTTAGAAAAGGGTAGGTAATAGCAATAGGTCTAAATTTAATACATGTTCCAGTAAAACGACTTAGGTATAGGTACAATTTTAATGTCCTTCCAAACGGCTTGCACGACATTTCCGGAAAAAGTTCTTTTGAATATCTTTTATCTACCTATGTGTACTACAAGAAATTTGGCAAATTGAATTGCTGCACTTTTGTACTAAGTCGGGACTGAAGTCCAGTCAGCATAGAAGATTTGTATAGTATTCATTATTGGAATTGTCCATAGCATAAAATGTACTGTCAGTGATTACTTTCTGGGAATTCAGCTTTTATTCTTAGGTTTTCTCATTTACTACCAGCGAATTGGTCTAGTGACTATTATTATTATTATTATTGTATCCTTTAGTTCCTAGAGGAACATAGGGCTTCAGCTGCGCACCTCCATTGACTTCGGTTTTCTGACAACTTTTTCAACCTGCTCCAGGTCTGCCCACATGCTTTCATCTCCTCCTCCTTTGACCGCAGTTAAATTTTGTCTAAGTTTATAATTTATGTTGCGCTATAAAAAAATGAGAAGTTCAATGAAAGCATCTACACAGATTTGTTGTCAAGCTAGAGTTGATGCTATTCAGTATCGTTTCGGTTCATATCTTTGTATTTTTAAAACACAAAATAATTGGATAAAGAATATCCTTTTCGATAATTTCTTCTTCTGGATCTACAATAATATATATATATATATATATATCCAAAAGTTTACGTTTTCTTCACTTATGCATAGCCGAAGCTTTAGCTATACATGAACAGAAACCTAAATTATGTGTTCAAAAGCGTTTTGTCAAACCCCTTTCTTTACCTTGGTCATAATAATGTTCTTTCTAGTTTTTATTTTATTTTACCACTTGAATTCTTTCCACTTCACTTCACATCTTCATTCTTATCGTAATCGTACTCCTAATTTTCAAAATTTTTAGACAACACTTGACATTTTTGTTATAGAACAATCTTTAATATTTTTGTAATTTATCCACTGCAACTCTACCCCTTATAACTTTTATCACATATATACGTACATTGACTGAGCAATTATTTAGTGCCACTTAATAACCTTTTTCTGTAATATAAATACGACTGTACAGCTTGAAAATGAAGTCGTTGAAAAGAAATTTCTTCGCTGAAAAAAAACTGTGTTTTTACTTATGAATGAATGGGTATTTTTCGTGATATATATATTTACGTAGAATATTCTAGAATAGTAGTCGATACCAATATTAGTGTTTTTTAAATAATATCAATTTGTAACGTAAGATCAATGGAATTACAGTTCATTAAACATGCTTGAATTGTATTAATCACAAAGATATAGTATCAAATAGAATATCAACTAAAATGAGAAAAATCCCACAAAAATTCAGGATCACTCAAACCCAGATGGCCAAGGTAAGGATAATGTCTGAACTGGCTTCTTTTGGAAGCACAAATTAGGCTTCTTAATATGGATTCCAACAGCCTCAGAAATATGTAGTAATCGAACTCTTAAGGCGAAATTAAGATTTGTTGATATGTGGTAAATGACCCTGAAAGCATAGTTAACACCAATCTTGTGTTCTGTATTCACAAGATGAGACAGAATAGCGCTGCGAATAGATTTTGTATGTATTTAGACAAATGTAATGAAACCTAAGAACTTCAATGGTAGAATGCTCGCAAACAACGCAGTAGGCCCGAATTCCATGCTGACCTCAAGCAGTCCTAGACTTTGCCTAGCTTACTTGCCGGTAGTAAGCTTGGAGAAGAGGTACAGTTAATTTTGAAGCTAGCAACTCCACACCTCTGAAAAAATACCACCGATACGGGAAATTCAAATCTTGAAGCTAAAAGCCCTGTGTTTCAGTTAGAACATAAGGGATGAAAATTACTGGGACTATTTCTAATTTAGTTGATTCAGTGTTTTCGGCGAGCAGTTACATAAGTTGAAAGTTCAGTTTTTAATGTGATCACTTATTGGGATTGATACCGACAGACTGTTTTATGTTGAAGCTATAAAGCACCCAACTCCATCGACTTACTAAAGACAGGGAGTGACGTGGTAGAGCGCGATGACCACTTCACCTATTTGGGAAGTTGCATCAGCTCCAGCGGGTTGACCACTGACGAAATCTCATCATGGATACAGAAAAGCTCCTTTGGCACTTGCCGACATCCACTATCTCTAGCGTAGGTATGATATCCGGCTGGCTGTTGACCAAAGGGCGTGTGTACTGCTCAGCAGATCGCTCTGTCCTCCCTTATGGCTGTGAGACATAGCGATTGAAAGTGGAAGAAATAAAAAGGTTAGCTGTCTTTGACCATAGTTGTCTACGTTTTATCTCCCATGGTAGATGGCATAATGGGGTGAGTAATATTGAGGTTAGGCTTCTGTCTAGTGTTAGTTAAAAAGAGGAAACTAAATGTCGAGGTTGTAAAGTTACACTGATTGAGATTGTTGGGATGTATCACGCATGCCTTCCGCCACAGGGTGTAAGCAGACTGACAAAACATGGAAGTAACCAATGAAATCTATAACAGTTAGTTAAAACCATGTCGGGAGATGTAGACTCCCTGGTTGGGGTCCTCGGGATGGTAAGAACCAATAGCTGGAGACAATTGGTGATATGACTCGAAATTGTTCTCAATGGCGTAGATGCATTCACTCTTTGTGATTTGTCATACCCGATAAATCCCCATTGTTCTTCCATATTATTATTCTTTTTCTCTCGCACTTCTGTTTATTACTTCTGTTTACTCTCATCTCTTGTTTTGTGTGCTACATGGAATGTGGCAACCTGAACTGCTGTACATCTGTGCAAAGATCTATGTTGAAGTCAGTCTGTCTTCGAATTAATAAGCACTTACAAACTTTACAAAATTGTGTTTCTTTATAGACGGAAAACCCATAAAGTAGTTGGATCTGTAAGTAAGGCTGATTAGTTGAGTAAATGAAAGATAAACTTACATAAAGATACCTACTGATCAGTTTCAAAGATTATGAACCCACTATATGAAATGCATATATCTGTGAAAATAGTTGAAAGGAAGTGGTTATTGTGTCACTCCTCAGTACAGTTTGAATCAATGGAAGCAACTAGTTGCTGTTTATTTTATATGGTAATTACCTGAATTCATTATATTGTTAGAAAAACTAGAATTCGATAAGAAATCCTTAGGTTTGATCACGGATTGATATCAGCTAGAGAACCATCGGAAATCAGGCAGTACTGGACAGCTGTCTCATCCAATAATAGGACTCATCATCAGTACACACCCTTTGGGACTCGAACCCAGAACCTTCCGTTTGCAAGGCAAGCACGTAGACCATTCATCCACTGGGACCCAACTGCATGACCTATGAATTGTAACTGCTGGTCAAGAGTGAGGACAAATACTGAC